GAAGGACTCAGCTCCTGTGCGGCAAGGGTCTCCTCTCTGGGTCTTCACATGGCCCAAAGAGCCAAGGACACGCTCTCAAGTCTCTTTTTTAACAGGGCATGAATCCCCTCTCCAGGGCTCCACCCTCGAGACCTAATAACCTCCCAAAGGCTCCACCTCCAAACACTGTCACCTTGGGATTCAGATTTCAACACAATTGTGGGGTTTTGTTGTTTTTTTTTTTTTTTTCCTTTTTTGAGACAGGGTCTCCTTTCGTGGCCCAAGCTGGTTTGAAACCTACAGTATAGCTCAGATTGGCCAAATGCGCGTGACCTTCCTGCCTTAGCATCTGAAACACTGGATGTGCCCAGCTTCAGTATATGGATTTTGAGGGGACAGAAGCAAAGAGATCCATAGCAGCCTTTCTCCACGAAACCTCTGACCACTCCAGCCCAACCTTCCCTACACGTGGCGGCGGGCCTCCAAGAGGGCAGTTTCAGGATAAATGACTGTCCAGCTTCTGCACACACTTTGTTTACTTTTGTCCCGTGGGCAAAGCATGTCAGTGCGGCCAAGTCCAGAGTCAGCGTGGGTGGGAACTGATGAAAATCATGCAAACCGGAGGTGTTCCCGGGGCTGCCGACATAGCAATCCACTCTAGTCTGTTCTCTGGCCCCGAGTAACTCATTTCCTTCCCACTGCCACATCCAAAACCCAGTCGCCCCTTCTGGGTTCTCCCGTGTCACATTTTCATCTATGATAACATTAGGATCAGGTTTGAAGTCCACGATCTCATCACATAACTCACGAGGCTCCTCAGGTGCTTTTCCCCAGGTTCAGGGATCTTCAACAGTGTCCTAAAACTGGTTCATACTGCCTTCTGACAGCTGACATATCTGGGTTCAGTTGTGTCACATTAGAAGCTGAAAGTTGGACCTCCCGGAAGAATTTATACTAGAGAAACTGTCAATCACCGCAAATCAGGGCTTTGAAGGTTCTTCCCCCGGAGACCAGCTGTTCAGTGTTTACTAATACACCACTGCCCACGTCCTGAAAATAAGTTACCTCTTCCCCCAACCCACCCAACACCATGCTGAGGCTAAGACAGGACAGGGTAACCCTAACAGACGTTCTCCTTCAGGAGCGTGGTGGGGAACGGGGCAATGCTGGCTAAGACGGGCACAGGGGCCGGGCGGTGGCACACGCCTTCAATCCCAGCACTGGGGAGGCAGAGCCAGGCGGGTCTCTGCGAGTTCGAGGCCAGCCTGGTCTACAGAGTGAGATCCAGGACAGGCTCCAAAGCCACACAGGGAAACCCTGTCTCACACACACACACAAAAAGACAGGGACAGGGTAGCCACAACCAACGTTCTCCTTCAGGAGGGTATGGAGGAATGGGACACGGAGCAGTCACTGATCACTGATTCGTAAACACCTCCCTCTCTGACAGGTCTTGTTGGCCTCACTCTCATGATCCTCTTGCCTAAACTCTGGAACAGGTGTGTGCCACCAAGCCCAGCAGTGATCCGTGAAAGTCCTGATTTCCTGTCTGCTACAGATTTCAGTCTACACAGATAATTTCCATGGTGGGGCCTGATTCTGCCCTGCGGGGAGCTCGGGTCGACCGTCATATAGCCCTTGGCACTCTGCCTTCAAAAATGTCCTTACTTTTGGACAAGAAATGACCTGTGTCTGCAAGGGAGAGCAGAGCTCTCTGTCATTTGTCTGTTCTGAGACAGGGTCTCACCACGTGGTCCTGGGCTGGCTCGGAACTCGCAGTGCGGACCACGCTGGCCTCTAACACATGGGAATCCACCTGCCTCTGCTTCTCAAGGTGCCCAGCCCTTTTCCTGTTTGTTTTGTATTTTTGCAGCGCCGAGGACAAATGCTCTGCTGAACGACGCCCTTAGCTCCCTCTTTTCATCTTGAGTTCTCTCCATCCCTTTCAGTCCAAACTGGTGCTCCTCTGACTTTAAGACCGCGGGCCCAGCAACTTTCTCTTGAGGAACCCGAGCCTCGTCTGGAGGGCAGGATACTGTCTCCTCTTAAGCCCTGCTCTTCCCCTTGCTCTCTCTCTCAACGGTGGTTGGCGTCCAAGCCAGGTGTTTCCAGGTTCTTATCCAAACGATTAAAAATAAAGGCTCACCCAGACTTTAAAAAGAAGATAATTTTATTTGGAGCGAAGCGATAGTATAGATTAGCTGGTGGTGGGGACAGGTATAGCTGGGTCACGTGAGTAAGGATACCCGAGGGCCCCAACTATTCCTTTCATGGGGCTCAAGGAAAGGAGGAGTTGGTTCTAAGGGATGTAGTCTATGTAGTTCATTATTTTGATTAATAGATTAAGCCATACGCTCATTGTTTCTGCTGTCCATGTCCCTGCCCGTAATGCACCAGACTTTAATCATATGCACATCCGACTATGCACAGGCACAAGATGGAAAATAGATTCTCTCTGAAAGGTCACCAGAGGACAGTTTTGCCTTACTGTGCACGCACACAAAACCAGTTCAGTCCAGATCAGCCCTTCGATGCTTCATACCTGAATATGTCGGGAGTATATTTGAATACAAACTGTCTGAATATGGTTGTTACCAGGGGCAGGAGAACTCATATCAGTGCTCAAGGACGGAAGAACATGTAGCCCAGTGCAAATAAGGGGCCGAAGCGGGGGCGAGGAAGGGGGGAGTCCTAAGAGTGCTGCGTGCATTGTTTGGAGAGTGGTGTGTGTGTGTGTCTGGCATGTGCAGGTGAAGGCACTGGGCTGCCAAGTACATTATTATAAGGGCAGTATGTGTGTGTAACTAAAACTACATGGAGGTCTCAGGGTACCAAACATTCCTGTGCTTACCTGCCTCAAATGCCTATGATTAAATCTGTATTAAAAATCTTTTCTTGGGGGCTGGAGAGATGGCTCAGTGGTTAAGAGCAATGGCTGGTCTTCCAGAGGACCTGAGTTCAATTCCCAGCAACCACATGGTGGTTCACAACCATCTGTAATGAGATCTGGTGCCCTCTTGAGGAGTGCAGGGACACATGCAGGCAGAACACTGTATACATAATAAATAAATAAACTTTAAAAAAAAAAAAAAAATCTTTTCTTAGCCGGGCGGTGGTGGCTCATGCCTTTAATCCCAGCACTTGGGAGGCAGAGCCAGGCCGATCTCTGTGAGTTCGAGGCCAGCCTGGGCTACCAAGTGAGTTCCAGGACAGGCGCAAAGCTACAAGAGAAACCCTGTCCCAAAAAAGCCAAAAAAAAAAAAAAATCTTAATAAACTAATTGGAAAAAAAAAAAGACTTCACAAGTCTCTAAATAATATAGTGTGTTCTATCCAATCAGATGTTAACACATCCTGTGCTGTCCACTCAAACTCTAAGCCATCAAGGTATTTCACACCTGTAATCCCAGCACTTGGGAAACTGAGGTCACTCTGAATTTGAGGCTACATAGTGTGTCTCTATCTCAGAAAACCAAATACATGAGTAAACAAAAAATGAATTCTTAAATCTTAATGGGGTGTTGTTTTCCATCTCATTTTTTTTTTTGTCCTAATCTTTATTCTGGCTGTGTTCCACGGCCAGTGCCCTGGATTTTTATTTTTTTAATTTTTTTAGATTTACTTTATGTGTATGAGTATTCTGCCTGCATGTATGTATGTATGCCACATTAGAAGCCAGAAGAGAACTTCAGATTCCCCTGGAACAGGAATTACAGATGGCTGTGAGCCACCATGTGGGTGCTGGGAATCAAACCTGAGTCCTCTGCAAGAGCAACATGTGCTCATAACCACTGAGAGAGCCCTCAGCCCTGCACTATTATTATTACTATTATTTATTTATTTTTGAGATAGGATCTCACTATGTAGTCCAGCCTGA